GACACGGATAAAAGTTTACAAGCTTAAAAACTGAATAGCAAGAATTTTTCTGCTTTTCCAAAATAAAGACATTTGGTAAGGTCTTCATATTTCAAATACTCAAGATAGCTTTATGACTTCCCAAGACATTATTAATGTCTGTCTGCGCTGTGGGGACACATAAGCTTTACTATGGGATTCAGTATTGGCTAATTTAAAAATATTTTTTAATATTTTTACTTTATTATTCTCAAAAATGTATAATCCTAATTTGTTATTTTGAAATATACAGTTTTTGTATGTCATGCAGCTAATCTAAATTTGTAGTAAGTCAGCATTTAATCCATTGCCATTTTCTATAATTATGCAATAAATGGGCCTACCAAAAATAAAGTATACTGAATATATTGGTTGTCAGGACACACGATTTTATCCAAGTTTGTGGGATCACAAGTGGAAAGGAACTAAACTCAGGTGAAATGGAGAGATTTTCCCAAATAGGTTGTCAGGATTAGAACTCATGAGCAGATGCTGAGAACCCAGACTTGGCCTTGGGCAGAAGAGTATTCCCAGAGCATACTGGCGCTCTGGAGAGGAGCCCTGGGTACATGGGGCCCCTGGGTAGACAGGGCCAGGATTTTCCAAGATCACTCCTCACCCCCACCCACAGTAGAAAGAATGTCGGCAGATACCTCAGCTTCTTTCCCACACACCTCTGATCTCCTTCATAGGCTGGCACCAACTGAAAGTTGTGAGGTCAGCTGCCAGGGAAAGAGCAGAGCAAGAAAGGGTGGCCCAATGGAGGGCGCAAAGACACAGGGAACTCAGCGGCTTATGCCTCTGTCACTGAGGTCTGCCATGGGTGGAAGAACCGTGACTGTGCCTCTGACTTAATCTGTAAAAGGCCTACTAGAAATACCATCTGGAAATGTTCCTTTCTGAGGGGACTTACAAATATATAGTCTCTATTTTCATGTTTTCTGCATTCTCCATCCTTAAATGTATACTCAAATAGTTTTCTTTCATTTCTCGTTTGTGGGATGGAAGGTTCAGCAGTCTCTCTGGTGAGCAGCCTTCTCAAAGGCCCACCTGAGAGTTCTCTGAGCCATGGGGAATCTTCATATAGCAGTGAATGAATGCACAGTGCAGGAATTTACCAACCATCAATAGACATGGAGATAACTCTCCCCAAAAGGCAATCCAGCCACCCACAATGACAATACCCAATAGCTCTCTCACGCATTAAATTTGAAGTGGACACTCAAATCATTTGTTTGAAGTTATCTCATTTACTAACTTCATGTGTGTAGGTTTTCTCTACCTTCTGATCGCAGGATAAAGCTGAACAGATAGAAGAAGAGCCAATTCCACCATTTTCAAGAAGCATGCTTAGCAGAGCTGAAGGCAAAAGTGAGAAATGATGCCCACTGCTGACTGCTGGGCAACACAGAGGCCTAATTTCACACACTGCTGGCCCTCCATGAACGTCTGCTGAATTGGCTAAACAACCACCAAAAACAGCACGTAATTACTTCTGGGAAAAAAATAATCGGCTAGTGTTTGAGGTTTCATGTGTGTGTGTGTGTATGTGTGTATGTCTGTGTGTGTATTTCCTTTTCTTTCAAGAGCAGGTCTGTAAGATCACATTATATTTTTTCTTTGACCTTGAAGGAAACCTCATCTATCTGAAGAAAATATTCATATTAAACTTCACATGCTACAGCATACTTAAAATCATCATTCTGAAAATTGTGCTGCATCTTTTAATTAAAAAAAAAACACGGGCTAAGAAAATGTAGAACCTGGTATTAACATGAGAGCCAAGAGCAATTTAAATGTATTCTTTTTTAATAATAAAAACATGTAGAATGTTACAAACCTGGCCTTCACTCTACAAAAGGCATGGCATCCTGTCACAAAGATAATTCTGAAGCATAACCTCTGTGACTGGAAAGCAACAATGTTACATCTAATTTTTTTGGTAAAAGCTCAAAGATTCACACTTTGAGTAACTTAGGATCAGACCTATGGTTTCTAAGACATCTGTCTCCCAGGCACTGATGTGAAATGAGCTTTGATATCCTAACAAAGATGTAACACTCTTCAGAATAAAGAAGTCCTTCCCTTTTACTTTAAGAAGAAATTAGCAAGTCCCAGAAATTGGCACTCATTGGGCCTTTAAACCAAGGCTACAGAGATGAAATCCTGCTTGGTGTGAAGAATCCATTTTGATTTAACAAAAGGGATGAATTCTGTGAGAAAACACTGCCTTTCCTGGATGTGTCCTCCCGGTCCCTGGCTGTTGTCCCTGGCTGTTCTCCCTGGGGTAAAGGCAGGGGCCGTGGGGCTGCCAGGAGCCTGACAGCTGTGGAGGTGGCTGTCCTCTCTCAGAGCTCTCTTCGGATGGGAATTCAGAGCACAGCAAGAGGAAATTGCCTTTGAGCTCACTAGAACACTAGGCCATGCTTAAAGCCGATACGAAGGATAACAAAAGCAGTTCAGATTCATTATGGGTAATCTGTAGTTCACAAAATCCTTCTAACATGGTGATTTACAAGCTTCACCAAAGCAGCTTTTTAACACCTTAACAGTGTCTCTGTACCAGAAGGCCTAAACAAGTTAAACCCCAGGCTGCATATTTCAAAAACAACCAATTCTTTTTATTGTTCCCACTCAATTCCTCACTCGTTCTCATCACTTGATGAATGTTAAGGAATTGGAGGTATCTATCCACCTTTCTGGAAACCTAAAAATTGAAAAGATAAAAAACTAATCCCATCAGTCTTGAAAAAAAAAAAAAGCAGAATGTTACAATCAACTATTATCATTTATTTGGTTCTAACATGTGAGGTGTATGGGTTTAATGCTAAAAGTCAAAATCATCATGGACAACTGACAGGTGACTCAAACTGTTCCATGTAAGAATGGTTCTGGGATTTTTAGCTCCAAGTATTGACAAAAGGCGGATGTTTCCTACTAGGACTGAGGTAACAGTACCTACTGAAGATTTATATCATATAAAAACACTCTGAATATGCAGCTAAACTTGAGAAGAAGGCCTAGTATCCGAATGACAAGTCTAACTCAACTGTGCAAGTAGCAAGAAAACCCTAGGCTTTTTGCATTGACCAAGCAAAAACTTTAAGGCAGTCTGAACTGATGCTGTCACCTGCCCCTAGAAGAATCCTGACTCTAAAAGCACAAGAAGCCTAAAAGAGTGACTGAACTTGAGATCTGTAATGATTTTCCCTTCTCATCCACATGGTATCCTTCAGACAACTCAGGAAAGCATGTACTTATAAACATCGTTACATTAACATTCATTTGTTTTTACTATACTACACAGGAAAAGGATGAGAGAGCTAGAGGCATGATGGATTTGAAATCTTTCATGGAGAGAAGTGGCCATAGGCCTTCAGATACTCATCAAATGAAGGTATAAAGAAGGTAAGGCAGAGCCAGCAAGTCCCAGTTCACTGATTTGGGACTAGTACATCACAAGGTTCTTGCAGTCTGAGAATGGCTCAGATAGGACACAGGGATGGAAACAGGCTCCACATGGGAGGTTCTTCCACTGATCATGTTTAGATCGACTCGCTGGGACAGAAAGAGAATGGTTGAGAGGAGGCAGGGAAGCAAACAAAGAAGGCTTGCGGGCCCTGAGAACAGCTGCAGACCAGAGAGCCATGACTCCTAAACAGAAGCTGGGGAATCCCAGACATCAGGTTGACAGTCCAGCAGCGGGCACTGCTCACCAAAGCCTCATCAGAGGACAGGATGAACGGGCTGGCGGCCACCTGGCCAGAGGGAGGCACTCTTCCCTGTTTACGTCCTCCTGGAAAACAGAATTCCCACCCCCATGTCTTTCTCTTGGTTGCACCTGACCAGGCTTCACTCAGCAGGTGCTAGGAGACATCAGAGTGGCTGACAAGGTCGCTGGTGGCCAGAATACCGCAAGGCTAGGTTAGGACTCTCCTGGGTGTCCTTTCATATAGCTCTCTCTCCCACCTCTTCTTTCATGCCAGGGCGTGAGCTTGAGAACTCTAGGCGTAACCACAACCACAACTGGATTCTGGGGGATTTCTCAAAATATAGGAGCTGAAAAAAAACTGTACTCCTGCTTTAATTTAAAGCGAACCGCCGCTTGTTCACCCACCCCTTCCCTTTTGCTCCTACAGCAAAGCACTCGCTGGCAGGCTTCAGAAGAGAGGCAGAGGCCCGCTACTGGGTCTCCTCCCCAATTCTTTAAGTTGTTACTAAAAATATAAATAAATAAAATTTAAAAATAAAAATAAAAATAATAAATCTCCCAGCAACAGAGGAGGCTGGGGAGGCGGCTAGGTGTGGCTGTCCGGGACTTCGGAAGCCAGCCGAAAGGGAAAAGCTGCAGGTCTTCCCAGGAGGCCGTCAAGGTATCAGTAGGCTGAGGCCTGCCTCTCCGCACACAAGGAGGTTCCGGTGGTGGGTGGCCGCTGGTGAGCTCCGGGCCGTGCACAAGTACCTCGGCCTACCTGACTGCATTCCTGCCGCGAGGCACGGGACGAGCCCACCTCCGCAGCTGCTCTCCTCACACTGAGCGAGGATGTGTTTTCATTTTGGTTTTTGGATACATGTGTGGTTTAAGTCTACAATGGACAGGTGCATACCGGCGCGGGTACAAAACACGTTCCAAGAACCAGGGACGAAACTACCGGTTCTTGCTACTGGTCGTCCGTGCGCGAGGCCCGCCTGGCCGGTCTGCAAACCTGCCCTCGTGCGAACGAGTCCACGCGTGACCCCGGGGCGCTCGGACGTTCAACCCCAGCAGTCCTTGATGTCCACTCCACTTCCCGCGGCACCTGCGCCCCGGGCCGCCCCGCAGGCCCCGCCCCGCACGTACGTGCCCTTAACCAGCCCGCGGCTGCCGCTGCCCCGCGCGGCCGCGCCCACGGGGGGGCGCTCCTGTCCGCCCCCGGCACCCACGCGGCGCCCCTCAGCAGGCGCGATCCTGCACTCGCGACCGGCCTCGCGCCGCCTCCTACCTGAGAGCCCGCGAACCGGGAGCCCGAGAAGGTCGAGGCAGCTGCGGGAAACGTGGCCAAAGGAGAAGGCTCAAGGAGAGCGGCTGCGGCGGGCTGTCCGGGAACGCGCGCGCGCTCCCTCCCGCGCTCCCTCCGCTGACTCCAGGCCGGAGCCCAGCCCCGCTGCCGCGCGCCGCCCGCCTCGCCGCGCCTAATAACAACGGCGCCCTGGGTCAGGTGGCCGCGCGCGGACAGGGCGGCCATTGGCTCGGCGGGGAGCGCGGTGCGTCGCGATTGGCTGGGGGGTGGGGCCTCGGCAGAGGCTGGGCGGGGCGGCTCAGGGAGGCGGGCTGGGAGGGGCGGGGGCGGGGCCAGGCTTGGTCCGCGCCTTTGTGCCCGGCGCGCGCTCTCCGCCCGCTCCGGCTGCAGCGCCCGCTGCATCAATAATTCAGAGCGGCGGCGGCGACGGCAGCGGCGAGTGCGGACTGGAGGCGGCGGCAACAGCGGGGACCAGGCAGCAGAGGCTATGCATCCAAGTGCGGCTGGGCGGCCGCGGCACCCCTGAGGCCCGGGCGGGGCTCCGGGTGCACGGCACGCGGGGACATTTGTCCCGGAGTGCGAGGGAGAGGCGTAGCGGCCCGGGAGGCGTCGGCAGAGCTGCGCACAGAGCTGAGGAGGGGGCTTCGGGGCAGGACTGGGGAGGGGGGCGGCTGGCGTTGGCAGCCCCCGGGGCGGGGGGCGGGGTGGGCGCCGGAGGCGCGATGCTGGGCGTCGTGGAGCTGCTGCTGTTGGGGGCTGCGTGGCTGGCAGGCCCAGCCCGCGGGCAGAATGAGACAGAGCCCATCGTGCTGGAGGGCAAGTGCCTGGTGGTGTGTGACTCCAACCCCACGTCTGACCCTACGGGCACTGCTCTGGGCATCTCTGTGCGGTCAGGCAGCGCCAAGGTGGCTTTCTCTGCCATCAGGAGCACCAACCACGAGCCGTCCGAGATGAGTAATCGCACCATGATCATCTACTTTGACCAGGTGAGTTTCCCCGTTCTCCTGTAGCGTCCAGAACGGGTTGGTGAGGGGGTGGCAAGGAGAGCGTGGAAGTGGGATGTGGGCTCTGCGGAGGCGCGAGGACCACGCTCGGGGGTACTCCGGCTACCCGCTCTCGTCCCTGTCTCCGTGTAGGTACTAGTGAACATCGGGAACAACTTTGACTCCGAACGCAGCACTTTCATCGCCCCGCGCAAAGGCATCTACAGTTTTAACTTCCACGTGGTGAAAGTCTACAACAGACAGACCATCCAGGTCAGCTGCGCCTGGGGGACAGGGTCTCAGCGGGGGGCCTGGCCGTGGGGCTCTGTCAGGGGCTCGGTGGAAGCGGGAGGCAGAAATGGGCGGCACGCGCCTGGCTGCTCCGGGGACGGCACCAGGCCCGCAGCTCTTCGGCTGGCACTGCTCCTTAAGCTGTCCAGGGCTGCTGAGAGCACCCCGAGGCCGTGTTCTGCCTTCGCTTTCTGGACCCTTCCATGCAGGCCCCTCGGTTTCCCCCGGGGACTTCCTGTAAGGGCTGTTAGCTCCACAGACAGCTTCTGTAAGGTCTCCTCCAAGCCCGCTCTCTGGGCTCAATTCGCCGCAGCCCCAAAGCCTTTCCGGCCGCTTTTCTTCAGCGCCGCGGACAGAATCTCCTTCCCTAACCCCAGGCCCTTCCTTTGCAGACTGTCTTTAAACTTGAACGTAGGAAGGGTCGGGGTGGGGATAGGAGGGGCAGTGCCTCCTCTGGGTCCAGCCATGCCCCGGCCAGCGCCCACCGGCTAGCCGGGTGCCCAAAGATGTCTGCGTTTCCTTAGAGCGCCCGCAGAGGCGGAAAGCGCGGCTGGGGCCCGGGCGCCTAGCCCGTCACTGCAAGGGCACAGGCGGGCGGTGGCGGGCGCGGCAGGGTCCGGACAGCCACCCCTGCCTCGTGACCTGGTCACGGACACCCGGGGAGGCGGCGGGCGCGGGTGTTTGCTCAGTAATTCAGGGCGCGCGGCGAGCTGGCGGGAGGCCCGAGGTCTCGGGGCGCCACAGCCACCTGCGGGCTCGCCAAACTAGAAGGTGTCCAGTCGGGACTGGCTTGGCGCGCTCGTCTGGCCGCCGTTCCGGGGAGGCAGACCCCTCCTCCGCCTGGAGGCGGCGGGGTGCCTTTCGGGCCCCCGCGGCTCGGCCGCCCTTCGTCCCCCACCCCCCTCGGGCCTCGGTGGCTGCTCGCCGGGCACCCACGCCGGGTCCCCATCCCCGCTCCGGTGCCCCCTGACGCAGGCCTTTCTTCTTCCTCCCAGGTGAGCCTCATGCTGAACGGGTGGCCGGTGATTTCCGCCTTCGCCGGGGACCAGGACGTGACCCGCGAGGCCGCCAGCAACGGCGTGCTCATCCAGATGGAGAAGGGCGACCGAGCATACCTCAAGCTGGAGCGGGGGAACTTGATGGGGGGCTGGAAGTACTCGACCTTCTCCGGGTTCCTCGTGTTTCCCCTCTGACTGGCTCGCGTCGGGAGCGGAGGCAGGAGGAAGGCAGGAGGGGAGCGCGGAGGCCGGACAGCGCGGGGCCGAGGAGGCGGCGCCGCCGGGAACTCCCCGCGCGGGGCTCGCTCCCCCGGGCGCCCAGGCGCGCCGCCGGCGTCCCACTCCGTCCTCTCCCTCGCCGAGGAGAAGGGAATTTCGCTTAGCTCTGCACACTCCCATTTCCAAAATTAAACTCGCCTCCCCCAAGCCAGTCGCAGTAATCGAGGAAGAGACTTGCCTTGTCATTGTTCCTTACCCGCGTCCCTGTCCCCGACAATTAACGAAGTAATGTGAAACGTTTCTCCCGACCCCCCTCCGAACCCTGCCACTTACTGAAACTTAGTCCGCCCGCCCCGCCCCCAGTTTGGAGAGGGGGTCCGTTGGTTTCCAGGTTCTGTCTTTGGACGGGGCAGGTAGTTTTAACCTAACAGGTCCTGCTCTTGGAACTCCGCGCTGAGCTAAGCCGGAGAGACTTCGTCCCCCGCTGGGGAGCGGTGAGGAAAGACTCGCGTCGCGGTGACCGGGTGGACGCAAATCTGCACCGCTGCTCCGCGAAGAACTCTTCCGGGTGGACGCCGGCTGCGGTCCGTCCTGCTGTCCTGTTCGGAGTGATCGTGAAATCTAAGGCTGCTTGGTGTTTGTCCTCTGATGCTTGTCGATGCCCCGTGTTCTGTGGCTCCACCGAGCGCCAAGGAGCCTCTTCGGGACGCTTCCTCTTCCTCTGTAAAATACGTGTGAATAGCCAAAATTTAATTTTGCTTTAATCCAATAAAGTCAAAGTGGGACTTTTATTTTTCTGAAACAGCTTTCTAAACTTCGCATTTTCCGGGTTGCGAGGTTGAGGGCTGGGGCTGCCCGAGGCTGGGCGGAAGACGCAGCCCGAGAGGCCAGGGCACACGGGCTTCTTGGCAGAGCCGTTCAGCGCTTCCTCCCGCCGCGGGCTCGCGCTGGCTTCCCTGTGCCCCCTGCTTTGGTGGGACGCGAGAAATCTGACCCACGTCCTGCCAGGTGTGACTGAGGGCCCGGAGCGTCCCCACGCTTACTGTCCCCGGATGTCTCCAGCTCTGCGCAGCTCTCGAGGCGCCTCGCGGTTCGAACCAGCGCCTCTAAACCCGAGGTCCACCCGCCACACAACCCGTGGCCACCAGACCTGCCGTTGCACTCATTCGCAGGACTTTAAAGGGGGTTCGTCCAGAAGTTTTGGTTGTATCGAAACGTAATGTGAAAAGCAAAATTGAAATAAACGACTTCGTTTTAAGTCTGGAAGGTTGAGCCTGTGTTGGACCCGGATGATGATGCAACTCCAGAAGCGGGTGGAAGCGGAGGGCCCAGGACCGAGATCTGCGGCCCGGGTGGGCCCCGGTGGTGCTGGGTTGAGATTCGGATTTGAGTTCAAGGGTTCTGGAGTAAAGGGTGCGGGAAATCGGGTCGGTAGCAACATGGCAGGAAAATGCCTGGCATTTCCGCCTTCCGCTCCTTCCTCCCCAACCCAAGCGCTCCACAAGCGCGGCTGGCCTGGGAATCTCAGTCCACTTTCTCAACCACGCAGTCTAAGGTGCCTCTGGCAGCGGCGCCCTTCACAGACCCGGGGTCTCAGGGCACTGTAGGGGACAAAAGGGGCTTCCAGAGTGATACACCATCGAGTGCCTGGTCCCACCTGAGGGGAGCCTTGCAGGAATTTAATAGAAAACTGAATTCTAATGCTTTTTTTTTTTTTTTTTTTTTTTTTTTTTAAATAAGAGCTTTGTCTTCGGTCTGCATGCTGGGAAGGGCAGGTCAAGGACAAGGGAGTCTTTGCTAGAGAACTGCCTTGACCAACAGCTCAGCTGTGCAGAGCCTACCGTCCAAAGCGTAGAGGATGGCTCACTGCTCCAGGCTTACAGCCTGTCGGGGGTGGGTTTAGCACCCGCCACCCTTGCAAGCTGCTCCCACAAGGCCGTGGAGCTCAGAGGGCTTCAGGACTGCCGCCCATTCCTTTTCCTGAGCGCAGACCCTCCATTTCCAGTGGCCAGGGCTCTGCTGCTGGGGAAGCCCCAGGCCGAGTTCGGCCTGAATAACTTGGGCATGACTCCCCGCCCTCGGGTTGCCCTTCTGTATAAAGGTAGGGAGGAGTCTAAACATCTGCAAGTGCCCCTCCTTCTCTGGAAACCCGGACATTCTCTGGTCTGGAACCAGGGGCCTCCCTCAGCAAGTGACTCACTATTCTGGCTGGGATGGAGGCAGAGAGCTGTGGGTCCCCACTGGGGCCCAGATCTGAACCCCAGAGAGCGAAGGTAGAGTCAGTGGACCCGGAGAAAGAAGAGGAAACGTCCTCCCTGCGTGGCCCCTGGTAGGACTGGGTCCCCGTGTCTGAGGCTGGCGTTGAAACTAGTCCCCACCTCTTCCTCTGCCTGCCAGCCCTCCCCTGTGCCACTTGACCACCCACCTCCTAGTCCTGTCTCTGGCACTCATGGTACCCATGCCTACCATCCCGGCCTTGAAGCTGAAGCTACACTTTCTCTCCTTTGTTTTTCAGAATCCCATTCCACAGAGGACCTAAGTTCCCTTAGAAGGCTGCCTCTCCTTGGGAGCTGTCAGGCTCCCACAGAGCAGGTAATGCTCTCCCTAGGAGGCTTGCTGCCTGCTTACACCCTTGCCCTCCAGGGAGGGCCTAGTCTGATGCTGGCAGGAAAGGAGCCACTGGGGCCTGGGCTTTTCTCCCCTTTTTACTATGGGTTTCACACGGAATGGCCACCTCCATTTGCCTGAGCAGGGCTGTGGACACCTCCCCCATGTTCCTTTGGTCAGAGGCTAGTGAGCCAACCTATGCTTGAAAATTGAACCCCAGATAGGGTCATTAGAGACACCAAGTGGCAGGTTGGAGATGGATGGAGAAGAGAAGACTTGGAGAGCTGCAGTTCCCCAGGGACTTCCTTCCTGTCCTGGCCAGAGGCTTGGGAGGTAGGTGGGTGGGGCGATTTAAAAACCTACACCTCACTTTGGTTCCCTTTAAGGCTTTGAAGCCTCTGATCCCTGGTAGATCTGGGCCTCCCCTCCTGCTTTCATCTAAAATAAGTTGCTTCAGATCCCAACCTGTAAGGGTTCCGGGACCACCCCGAATTTTGCCTCCCTCTGGGTCTAGAACAGCCCCACTCCCTGCCCCACCCCCGGTTGCCTTGGTTACTTCCTCCTCCTCTGCCCGGAGAAGTGTGCAGTCCCTGCTTCTACACTCCCGGACAGCGGAATTATCACCCCTTCCGGCCTTCCTCTAAGGAGTGTGGAGGCTTACCTGGTCCTATCACCACCCCCCTCTGTCTCTCTGAGGGCAGAGGTTAAAGTTTATGCTCTATGGCGAGTAGCAAGAAGTATGATGAGGGGAACGCAGAGAAGCTTCCTAGAATACATTGCGCCTAGCAGTCCTGTGGGCCTGTAGACAAGGCCACCCATCCATTCCCTGGGGCCGCCCGGAGCTTGCAGCACCTGGGGAGCCCACAGGGGCTGTGCCCGAGCGCCAGCGGTGAGGAGAACGGCATGCTGCCGCGGATCTGATTGACTCCTAATGAGAACATAATTACCTAGGTGGAGAGAGAGCCTCGCCGGCCTCTAATTGTGTCTTAATGGAGGTAGGAGAGGGGAGGGACAGGCTCGGACAGAGAGAAGGCAGACTCCAGTCCTGCCCCCTCCCTCCTGCCCCGGACCTAGGTGAAGGCCCCGCCCTCTCTGACTGTAATTTTGCACTGTACTCAACACCAACTTGAGCCTTACTTTCCTCAGCTCCAGAATGCTTAACGTGGCTAGTTGGTCTAACTTTTCTTATCTGTGCCTTCGCTTCCCAGCACTCAGCCACTTCCCTCTCGCAGGCGCTTGTGCACCGCCATTACAGTCTCATCAAACAGCGACACCCAGGAATGACGATAGGGGTGTGGGCAGTAAGACTACTCGGGTGCACCTGCCCCCCTGCCTTTGAATTAACACTGTGGGGAAAATGCTTCCCAGAGATCATTACAAAGGTCTCTTGAGTTCTTTGCCCAGGGTTCAACATAGAATACAACTCTATCTTGAGCCTCAGTTCCTGGTATTTTAAATGGAGACAATAGTGTGTTCGCTACAGTAAAAGATATTTTATGCTCCACAAGTACAGGGCACTGTGAGTTCAGGACCCGATCTTGTGGGGGTCCTCCACCAGCACAGGGCCCAGCCCCCACCCCAGATAGTCTTCTTCATTCCTGTTGCTTATATATTTGCATCTTTTCAATGCTGATGAATATTTTCTGCCAGTAGGCCTGTGTGCTCTTTATTACACCTTGAACACTGTTCTCTGCTGTCCTGTCTCTGTATGCCTTTGTTGGTGATTCCTTCTAAACCAGTATCTTTGTTTTCCTCTCCTTCCTTGCCCCTGGGCACACACCATGGCACTGGGTGTAGAGCTAGTATCCTGTGATGATATCATGATCTAAAGCAAATTGTGCCTGGCATGACCAAAGGACATGAGCACATTCAACACAAATGTTCTTTGGAGGACTTTCTGGAGCCCTCAGTCCTTCTCCCCCTACCCAGCATCCCCTCTTTCTCCCCTGACTTCCTGCAGCTGCAAGGACCTTCCTCTTCTACTCACTCTCATATACCCATTTCCCTAGAGGATGAGTCTATCTCCAGGAGTCAGTCCCAGCTGTGATCCTAGCGTGACAGCTAGCAGGGTAATTAGGAGGAGGCTAAGAGAAAATGCATAAGATGGTATTTGCTGAGTCTTGTCACCCAGAAGGTGCTTTGTTGTGCACCAAGTTGGTTGGACACATTTTTTTTAACTTTTATTAATTACACTTTATTCACTTTGTACCCCCCATAAGTCCCTTCCTCCTCCCCTCTCAATCCCACCTTCCCTCCCCCTTCTTCACTCATGCCCTTCCCCAAGTCCACTGATAGGGGAGTAATACTCCATTGTGTAGATGTACCACAATTTCTGCATCCATTCTTCAGTTGAGGGTCATCTGGGCTGTTTCCAGCTTCTGGCTATTACAAATAAAGCTGCTACAAACATGGTTGAGTAAATGTCCTTATTGTGTACTTGA